TGGACCTATGTTACACTCAAGAATAAAAGAGCACCTGAAGGACAATCACAAACTGAACCGCTCTGAATCCTTTTCATCATTTCTCACCCTTTAGTTCACCATCTTTCTCCTTCAACCGCATTTTGTTCTTTTCTTTTTTAAAGTACAAGATGAGCATCCTTCCACATCATCGTTTTCTTCCTGGCTTTCATGCTCCCTGTCTCTCCTTTGGCTCATGCAGAGGTCAGGACAACCCAGCTGTGTGATAGATAGCAAAGTCATCCATGACCTTGCAGCAGAAGCCACACCTTCTGTCCTCTAGCTCTTCCTTACATAGGTAGGTGTGTGTGTGTGTGTGTGTGTGTGTGTGTGTGTGTGTGTGTGTGTGTGTGTGTGTGTGTGTGTGTGTATACAAAATATATATATATATATATATATATATTTTGTATACTCATTTAGGGAAACAAAATAAGAGAGCGTTCATGCAGTGTTTTTGTCCAGCACTGTTTACATCGTTAGCTAACGCTGCTTACTGCCTGTGGACCCTAGGCACAAACTGGCAACCGTAAGCTTCTCTGCAGCTTTACAGCAGCTAATCTTTCCCAAAAATAACCACCTCAATATCATCTTGCAGAAGATGGGAAAACAGTTTTTGAAAAAACAAAGTGGAGCTGGCAGATTTAAAACATATGTGTGCATATCAGACAATATACATACCAATACTTATATTATATGACAGTCCAATATGGGCCAGCAGTACTGAACGGTTAAAAAAAACAACAACTTTCAATCAGATCTTTGTCTTTGTGTCTTTAAAACTACTCACTATACTCAAAAGTCCATTTAAACCACGCTAGCAAGAGAGCACATGATTTAAATGACTGTTCAAGTCTGTTAGCTGATGCTTGTTAATACGCTCATCTCCACGGTTGTGCGAGCACCAGATGACGCATTGTTATTCCACCGCGAGGCCATGCAAGAAGATCACAGTGCTGCAGGGAAATAGTTAACCTATGCCCTAGGTATGCAGCCACGGGGCACCCTTGAAAAACGGTTCATTTAAACTGAGTTTTGTGCTGATGTCTCAAACCACCTCAGGGCAAAGTACAATGGCACAAAATGCATCTTGAAAATGGGTGACCTATTCCTTTACAAATCCATGAAGCATAAATCAGCATGCCAGAGTCGCAGCGCACCAGACAGAGATTCAAAGACACAGAGCGAGTCTCTGTGATGCATTTGTTCCTCCATTTATAACCTCGATGAATGGATTGAAGTGTGCCTGCATTCACCTCGGTGTATTTTTATAATCAGGATGTGTCTGACTTGGTGTGCTGTGCCGAGTCTCGCTCTGCCGGCTGAGGACTCAGGATCAGGTGACCTTGGTGATTGTGGAACGTGTGGACAAGAATAATGAGACGTTTGCTAACAGAGAGTCAGTGGGACCACTGAGGAGGCTCAGGTGGGGATTGACACTGCCAGAAGATATTGCATCTGACCGAGGAGGATGGCAAAGGAGGAAAGGAAAAGCAAAGAAGGTGGCATAAAAACTAAGAGTGAGCCAGAGTGTGTCACCAATCATTTTCTATCCCAGATAAACACGCCGTTTTGATCCCAAAAAAAGCATTACAACTAGATAAAGCCGCCTATAAATAAGCCCAGCTGGTGCTGTACTGAGGCAGAGGGACTGACAGTATTGCCTGTAGATGCATTTGAAATATATGTCTCAGTTCTTCAAACAAAGAATAGATATGACAGTACGGTTCAGACAGATAAGTCACACATCAACACTCTTCTCTCTGTCAACAAAAATTGCTTCTCACCTGGCTTTCTTCCACCAGCATCACAACGTGTCACACAAATAACCAGCGACTGGGTGGAAGAAGTGGCTGAACATTAACTGGAAAGATTTTAGGGTTAAAATCTACAGAACAAACAGTGCAGTGAGGCAAACGACAGGAAGTTCTTGGAAGGGGAAAACTCAACTGTGAAATGGGCCCAATCAAACAGACTGAAGTATCCCATCGTGGAGAGGGCTGCCCATAAGAGTGGTGCCTAAACTTTAAATTACTGCAACACCAGCTGAATATTTCCAGGTCAGCTGAAGAGATCTGGGTTCCCAGTTTTACTTGGGACCTAAAAATGTAAAACTACTCAGTAATTCTTAAGGATAGAAAAAAAAAAAGCAAAAGATTAAATGAACGTCTGAAAAAATAAATCTGCTTACTGCTCCCCTCCCCTATTAATCATCTTATGATCCCTCGGAAAGGGCCTCAACTCCCAGACTGAGAACCATTGATCTGTAAAATCTACATTAGGCAGTTTGATGTACATCTACTTACCTACAGACAGGTGACAAATTTAAGAGAAAGACTGAATAAATTAGAACACAAACACATCCATCATAGATGCCTCCACATAGGGCTCAGCGAGGTATGAAAATCACATGCTATGGACTTAACAATTGCCAGATTTCAAGTCAATCTTAACCCCAATGGGAGATACAATAAGTAAAAAAGTAACTCATCGCCTGTTCTGTACTTTAAGATATATTAAGCACATAAACAGGAGACTGACAAAGGCAGCTAGAGAGAGAGGGAGAGCAAAGAAACGCTGTGGAAGAGTGCTGTGTGAGAAGTCCGGATGTGCAGAGCAACACCAGGTGGTGGAGCGTCTGGATGCAGGCAATCAAAGACCGGTGTTGCCTTGACAACTGTGATGCCTTGTTGATGATAATTGCTGAGCACCTTGCTGTCAGCACCCCCCCACACCTAGTGAAGGTCTATTAGTCTATGTGTGTGGACTTATTAAAAGATTAAGAATAAACAAGGGCAGCACTGAAGTGTTCGGGCTCAAAGTTGATTTCTCAACTGTTCTTCTCTTTCTTTCTACACAGTTTCATGTCGCCGTACAGACCAAGGAGCATATCTGATACAGCAGACAGGCCCATCTGTTCACTCCAGCCGCAGTGGGATCTGATCAATAAAGCCCCGGTGGAGGAGAATGTGGCTGCTGTGGTCTCCCACACTGATTGGAATAATGGATCAGCTTTTGGGTCACAGTGGACTCATTGTACCAGCAGCATGACCACTGAGGTTTCCTGCCTCCACACCTCTTTGTTTCAACTCTTTTAATTAAGGAGCTGGGCAGCCGAATTCCCTAACAGGCTTAGCTATTGGCAGCCTTGCAACCAGAACTGATTGTTCAATTCAGGATTTAGCAAGTAAAGCTTTGTATGACCAACACACGCTGCTTTAATTTGTCAGCGTGTCGGGCCTAATGCAACACTTGCAAATAAACATTAAGGCCTTAAAAGCGGGTTATTTACAGAAAATGATGCAGAGTGCATTTCAGCTGAATGCTCTGATGGGCTTTCACTGATCTGATGTGGACCAGTCCTGTCCTCTTCCGCTGCATCAGCTGGTGATTTTCTGAGCACATAGCCACTGCAGCATCCTACCACCTCCTCCTCCTCCACTCTCTCTTCTCCTCCCCCACCCTCCCTCAACCCCTCTCCACCTGCTTTTAAATGCATGGCGCTGCCCTGCCAACCTAGTCTATGCAGGCAGCATCACTCCTCTCAGTCCCTCCAGAGTGAAGGAGGAGGCTGTGGAACAGGATGGATGGTTATCAGCTTGTGCAACCCGGGGGGTTGTAAAAGAAGGAGACAAGATTGGAGTGAGCCAGCGAAAGCCCCTCTGCACTTCCCCGTAGTACCAATAATCGATTGGGGAGATGAGAGGCGACCTGAATCAGAATGGCTCACCACAGTCTGACTGAGATCAAACTGGTTTGGCTCAACTGTAGGCTGTCCTGCTCCAAGCATCCAGTGAGTTAACAGGCCGTCAGACTCGCTGCACTGTAATCGGGTAAAAAATTCATTATCAAGTCATTATTATTCTACCTTCAAAAGAAAATCAATAATGATCAGACCCCCTCCTCCTCTTCTCCATGCTAGATGCATGTAATATCATGCAGCACACGCCATCGCCTGATAGATGAAGGAGGGGGACACAGCCAACGCGCACACGTCCTATACCTCCCCCCAAAAGCATTAGTCTTCCAGACCTACATCGGCTGTACATTTTGCTCATCTGTTTCGTAACAGTACACACCAGTCATGGGGAAAAAAAGAAGAAAAAAAACCCAGCTGGATTAAATCCTCTGATCTAGGCCCTGCATCGCCGACACAAGCCTCCGATGGAGGGGTAAAGATGGAAGAGGGGTGGAAACGTATATGTGCTCCAGAAATAATGGCTGCTTGAAGCAGAGTAATATAAACCATTAACAGCTCCAAAGCCACCTATACACAAACGTATATGTGACTCCTTTGGGCTCGGGATGCAGGGCCCTGCCTCCAACAATAGGCCTGTGCATAATTTTGACCCATTCTCATACACACACACATATGTCGATGGTAGCATAATGCTAGTCGGCCTTTGTCCGCGTTGGATCTGTTTGTTTTTGTGCTGCCAGGACGTGCACACATGCATGATTTTGCCCGTTTAGGGACACGAATGGAGTACGTTGTAGGGGTCCTGATGTTGTGCGCAACATTAAAACCACTCGCGGCTTGTTACAATCTGCCTATGCATCACTTCAGGGTACATATCGGGGTCAGGAGAATAGCCTGCATAGACTTTTTCAGTATCCCCCACAGTTTGACTGCGAATGTCTCCGGTTGTTGTAGCTACCGCAAACGGGTCATTTAGTCAACAATGGCCGGTGATTAGACTACCCTCAGAGCCTCGGTGGGGTCACATGCTTCATTCAACTTCTCTGGTCTTAAATATAACACACTATTATTTCTTACAGCGGCCTTGTTTCATCTAAAGGAAATAAAAGAGAAATATCAACCACCTCTCGAACAAACAAATGACATCATCCCCTGAAAGCCACACAACCAGGAGAGAGCGAAGCATCGTAAATAAAACATAGCGGGTTGGGGCGCAGCGACTGTGCTGTGCTCTATGGCTTCCTTTCAGCGTTTTCCAGGACTGCTCGGTCCTGCTCCCACTCACCAGGTTCAGCACCGTCTCCACGATGTCCCTGTTGCTAACCTCCCCGACCTGGATCAGGCCCACCAGCACGGCAAATTTCATCTGGATATTCCTTATCGGAACAGCGGGGTTGATCACCCCAGCCGGGAGGACCATAGAGCCGGCTGCAGACACCATCCTTTCCCCGGTGGTGCCGGAGCCAGAGCCCGCGGCGACCTGCTGCTGCGGTGGCGGCGGCTGCTGCGTGGAGGAGCCCGCCGGAGGATGGGACTCTCGGTCCGTGTCCGTGAGCGAAGAAGCAGAGCCCGGTGGTACTGAAACCGGCTTCTCGCTCGACATTTCCCCTCGGAAACAGGGAGGAGAGGAGCGGTCGCCGCTGTCCCTCACACCTGCTCTACAAGCTCGGGCGTCTGCTGCTGCCGCCGAACAAAAACCATCCACTGCGCAGGTGAAACAAGGGGGAGCGGCGTTTGAAAAACTCTGGAAATTCACCCTATCCACCTGAAAATGTGTAGGGACTCATAGGTGTAGGAGAAAAAAATGATGGAAGCTTGACAGGAATGGAAACCTACGCTTCTCTCGCTTTCTCTCCTCTTTCTGTCTCTCCTCTCTCGCTCTCTCTCTCATTGGCAGGTTGCAGTCAGTGCGGTCGTGGAGGAGACAGCGCCATGTTAACGCCCCCTGTCTGCGGTAGCGCGCTTAAGCCGCGCATGCGCAGTGTGGGGATTTCTGGGAGGGTGCTGAAGCGGAATAACATGGAGCCATCCATGCATGGGTTCACACAGAACACAGCACAGTCGAAACAACTGTGTGTTATTGTGAGTTTTAAAAATATATATAATATATAAATATTGTTTTACTTGTAAATATTTAATAGTGCGAGGGTGCGAACATGGATTAATGATGGAACTTTCATTACATTTCTTTAAGTAGCAGAAATAGGCTGGGTCAACCTCCACAGATGTATTTTGGGTGTAGTGCAGGGGTAAATCCAGATGGAGTTTAGGGCGCTTGGTTTCCAGACAGAGGCTGTTTATATATTCAGAAGCCATCCATTTGTCCCACTTACCTCTGTCCCCCAGTTCAGCTCTGGTGCCTTTGTTTATCCATTAAGCATCCCACTATTGTTCTCCTGACACTAATCTGTTCTTGTGTGATTTTCTCATTTTCCCCGTTTTTTTTTATGTCGTCATCAACTGTCTTCCCCTTCAAGAAATTAATTTTGTCTTTTCACTTTCACACTTTCCTTACCTCATCACCTCTCCATCCTTATTTTGCCTTCTGGTTTGCAAAGCGTGGTCCTTACTATACTGCCTAACTTAAATAATAATAATAATAATAATAATAATACGGCTAATTGTTCTGATATCTTTGTATGACAGGAAATAAAGTAAAAAACCTTCTATTTTCACTTCTCTGTTTTTGTATCCCTTCTGGCTGAAACTAACAGAATGTGCAAATATTTGCCTGGAGATGTGTTTACAAGCAGTTGCCATGGAAACTGTTTTTCGTAATTGTACGTGGATTATCTTAAAATAATATAACATAATGTGTGTATGTGAGTGTGTGTGTATGGGGGGGGGCATTTAATTATGCATTAAATTAACATATATGACGGGTATTGCATACAATAATACAATATCTCAGCTGTCACATGGCCCATGGGTTGGTGATCTACTCAGGTTCAGGTGTGTTTATGAGAGAGGAACTAAAAACCTGAGCAGTAATAGAAGTGAATGTGTTTTGTGTCAAATTCAAAATGTTTTATAGGCTATATGTCTTCCATGGCTTCATTGTGTTTATGGCTCCTTCATAAGCTATAGTTATGACTTGATCCTTTATGAATCTTACCCTATATGATCATAGTGTATATCTGTATTTCTGTAACTCCTCCTAAACATGTCTGGATGAAACGTAATACTTAAGCTGCCTAGAGTACCAGGTAGTGCTGTGTAATACTGCATTCTTTTATATCTGTCGTATAATGAGTAAATACAGAGCCGGTATTGCGAATGCCAACACTTTTAATTTATAAAGCCAGCTTATGTAGGGAAGAGCAGTGTGGTGTGACTTATGCAAATTATGAACACATTTTAATGACCAGTAAGTTACTGTGATTTTTACATTCCATAAAAATTGGTCAACACAACAAAGCACTCCTTTCAGCGTACATAAAAATACATGAAAAGCTGAAAGGTAAATGTGCCTGTCCCTGAAGCTCTTTGGGTTGTTGTTTAAATGACCTATAACTAAAATAGACATGACAGTCAACACAAAAAAGGTTATAGATGCATACTTTTACATTTCTGGAAAAAATTGTTTTCAACACAGTTCGGTGGGCTACATATTGTATTTAGAGGATAGGAACAAAATATCGATCCTATCATTCTAGTGTCGATCTGATACTGATATCAACATCTATAGTTCTTTTGGAAAACATTTTTAAAACCACCAAATCCTTATAAATCGCAGCCGATCTCAAAACGAACGTGTATGTTAGTTGTAAGTTGCTGTTTACGAATAAATTTTGCCAAAATGCAGTGACACGTGTCACAGGAATATGATGTTGCGCATATCAAACAAGCAGTGATGCGAATAGCGCCTGCACCACAGCTTCCAGAGACGAAGAAATATATTTAGCCTATTTATTATTAATTTCTTTGGTGTCCATGAACTCTTTTTTTTTTGCTACCTGACCGTAAACAGTCGTATAATGAAGATAAAAAGAAGAACATGATAAATTAACATACATGTCTGTGTTCTACACAGCAGCCGCAGGCCTGGAAAAACCTCCCGCAGGGCAATTCTTTGCTAGTGTTTATGATTAACAAATGATTAATGGTACAGAAACCAAAATGCACTTAGGATTAATAGGATGGGTTGGCAATACTAAACACATACACTCACCAGCCGCTTCATTAAGTACAGCTGTTCAGCTGCTCGGTCTAATCAGCCAGTCACATGGCAGCAAATCAATGCATTTGGGCATGTAGACATGGTCAGGATAACCTGCTGCAGTTCAAATGATAGAAAGGTGATTTCAGTCACTTTGAATGTGGCATGGTTGGTGGTGTCAAAAGGACTGGTTTGAGCATTTCAGAAAGCGCTCGTCTACTGGAATTTTCCTCAAAACATTTACTGAGAATGGTCGGAAAAAGAGAAATTATCCAGTGAGCAGCAACTCTCTGGGTTTATGCCAGAAGTCTGAGGAGAATGGTCAGACTGCTTTGAGCTGATAGGAAAGCAGTAACAGTAACTCAAAAAGAAAATGCTTGTTATACCAAGGCATGTACAACATGAAGAAGCTTGAAGCAGAGGGCTACAACAACACCAGGTGACATTTAGAAATAGCATCAGGTTTTTATGATCAAATAGCTGCTAAGAAACCACTACTAAGGAAAAGCAACAAGCAAAAGAGATTTGTTTAGGCCAAGAAACACAAGGAATGGACATTAGACCAGTGGAAATCTGTGCTTTGGTCCAATGAGTCCAAATTTGAGATTTCTGGTTCCACCCACCGTATCTTTGTGCAACGCAGGAAAGGTGACCGGATGGTCTCGACATGCATGAAGGAGGAGGTGTGATGGTGTGGGGGGTGGTTTGCTGGTGACACTGTTGGGGATTGATTCAAAATTGAAAGTACACTGAAGCAGCATGACTACCACAGCATCCTGCAGCAACATGCCATCTCATCTGGTTTGCGTTTAGTTGAACCATCATTTATATTTCAACAGCACAATGACCACAAACACACCTCCAGGCTATGTAAGGGCCATTTGACTAAGGAGAGTGATGGAGTGCTGCACCAGATTGCCTGGCCTCCACACTCCTGACCTAAACCCAGTCGAGGTGGTTTCGGGATGAGATGGACCGCAGAGTGAAGGCAAAAGGGGAGACAAGTGCTCAGAATTTCTGGGAACTCCTTCGACACGGTTGGAAAGCCGTGTCAGGTAACTACCTCATGAAGCTCACAGAGGGAATGCCAAGAGTGTGGAAAGCAGTAATCAAAGCAAAGGGTGGCTGTTTTGAAGAATCTAAAATATAAAACATGTTTTGAGTTATTTCACATTTTCTTGTTTAATATATATATCCATCCACTGCTTTTACTCATCAGTTTTTTAGAAAATCTAATGAGGCTTGATGTCAGGGCAAGCTGGAGATGCTATTAGCTCAAGTAAATTCATGACAATTCATGATGTTTTACATGACTGGATGGCTTTTAATGCATGAATTCAAGTGTCAGTTTATGTACCCTTCTTGCAAATTGTTACCATTTCCATCAATTCAGTCGATGTCTCGGCTGCTTAACCGCGTCTGGATTTTATTCCTTTTAGGTTTTTTAGGTCATGCACTCATTTGAGTCTCTTTGAGCAGTGACTCACAGGTCCAGCCACAGCGTCTCACAAACACATAACTCACACACCTACACTATCCTCTGGTGGCTGAACAGACCGTGGCTACTGGCACCTGTGTGTGCACACATAAGCCTGTTTTACACTCCACGTGTTCTTCCAGAAGGCCACATCTGCCGGGTTGGATTTCCATTAACAAGGCAGCTATAGAGGCTGATTCATTACTCTTCTGGAGCATGTCTGAGTGTGTTTTCACAGAGGACGCGATGTCTCTTGGATGTCTTGCTTCATATCTTGAGATGCTGACCGTTGACAGGAGTGGGAGCTGGGGGTGATGTGGGAGGGGCATTTTGTAATGGTGTGTGTGTGCACGCAAGTGTATTTCACACTGTGTGAAATCATTAAAGAATGTTACAGATGAACAGAGGCCATCATACACACCCCTCCCCCGACCCAATCTTCAGCAAAAAGGAGACAAGCGCACACACACACACTCCAACAAACGCACACTGCGTACAACAGTTGTATCTGTTACTCACTTCCCCACACTCAAGAGAAGCAATTTCTCAAGCCAATACATGTGATTTTGCTCTTGGATGTGAACACACTTGGGTTCACACACACACACACACACACACACACACACACACACACACACACACACACAGATATACAACTACAATAGCAAGCTCTCTTTCTTTCTCTCTCACACACACGCGCACACACTTCTCTTTGTTTTCAGACAAAGGCTTGCTTTTTCAGCTTTGTCATGATTCCACAAAAGACTTCTTTGGGAGAAAGAGAGGTCTTAACCGGGATCTGGCTGGCGATTGGGTAAAAGCATTAACATTGTTCCCCTCTTTCGTTCTTTCTCTCAGTCTCTCTCCCCCTCATCTGTCCTCCACCTCATGCCTTTCCTTCCCTCACCTCCAGCAGAGCTGCAGTACTTGCAGGCGGGCAGTTATTATCCTCTCTGTTCCGGTGTACCTTTGTAGAGATGTGTGGAGGTAGTGCCAGCGTCCTGTGTGGGCTGATGATCAGAGAGCTCGAGCTTCAGAGGGGACTGGGACTCAGTGAAGATCAGGCAGAGAGAGTGCAGAAGAGGTGATGTCTGTCAGGGAAGGTTTGGTCAGCACATACAGGAGACAATACAGTTTGAATGTTAGGGATGATTCTTAGATTGATAATAGTTGCAGCTAGATTTGGTTTGACAGGAAACTACTATCAGCTGTTTGCCTTTAAAATAAGTGATTATTATAAATTGCATCAATATGATTGTATTTGGTCCCCCTTTACAAGCTGGCTTT